GATGTTTTTAAAAATACACAATCATGCTCTAAAATATTTTTTAAATCTCTTCCTAATTTTGTTTATGATATTAGCTTTCATAATAAGATCTCTGTAATGCAAAAATAACATCTATAAAATCTCCTCACTGTGTAATACAACTTAACAAATTGCTAGCAAATCCTTTGTGGTAGAATGAACCAGCAAATAAAATGTTTTAAAAATATAGATGATTAATTTCCCCTATCAGATTAAACCCACAGTTATCAAAAACATATGGATTACAGAAAGCGGAACAGTGTTTGACTTTGGGAGGACTGACTGGGAAAGAGCATTATGGAAATTTTTAGGGTGATGAAAAGGTGCTCTATCTTGATCTAAAAAGTAAACACATAGACACAATGCTCAGTTTATAAAATGTCATCAGGCTGAATACCAGATTAATGTACTTTATAGAGTATGTGTTGTTAAAAAACAAGATTCAACTGAGTAAATTTTAAAGATCTTATTGGCTTTACCTAACAATTCATGAACTGGGCAGCCTCCGGTCTGGCGGATAGAGAGAGATGCTCCAAGGAGCGGTACAAAACGAAAGACTTTATGGGCCGAAGGAAGCGAGAACAAGGAACTTATACTGGGAAACATTGGTCTTTGCAGGTTTACTTTCCTTTAGGGGACGGCAGGCAGCTGTTAGGCTGGTTATCTAACTGCCGCTGATCAGGCGGCTCCTGGCGGACTGCTTCAAGATCCATTTCTGAGAGAGCCTGTGCTGTTTGAACCAAGTCTCAGTTTGGTGAAGTGAAGCTTTTGCATGAGTGACTCCATTTTGGGCATCATCTGTTTTTAACAGTTACATATCAACTGTTTTTTTTTTTTTTAAGTTTTAAAAAAGTTGGAGGAACACCTGGGTGGCTCAGTCAGTTAAACGTCTGCCTTTGGCTCAGATCATGATTCCAGGGTCCTGGGATCGAGCCCCACATTAGGCTCCCTGCTCAGCAACAAGCCTGCTTCTCCCTCTGCCTGCTGCTCCAAGCCCTGCCTGTGCTCTCTGTGTCAAATAGATAAAACCTTTAAAAATAAAGTTTTAAAAGTGGGACTTTCTGACAGTTTTCTAAAAGACTCTCTATCCCTTTATTAACTGTAAACTAAATACATTCTAAAATCCACCTATAATGTCAGAGGTAATTTATGCTCTAATTGCAATATTCAAAAAGAAAAGAAATGAACAGGAAAAACAAAACAAAATGTGTGGTTTAGTTTTGTGGAGTGCATTGTGATTTAATTTTCCCCCTTTTCTACTTTATTTTTCAAGGCCTTTGGAGTTAGATTTGCGTTTCCTTTCAATACCACACTATGCTGTGGTGGATATTTAGATTAAACAATTAGGATAACAGGATAACTTATAATGTTCTAATCAGATCTACAGATTATAAATTTCTAGAAGAAAAAGAACATCTTATTCATGTTCATTTCTGTATCCTCCAAAGCTCCTGGGCAGGTTTTTTTTTACTTATTTTTTTAAAGTTTATTTATTTTTTTTTAGAAATCTCTGCACCTAACATGGTGTTCAAACTCACAACCCCGAGATCAAGAGTCCCATGCTCGCTCTTTCTTTCTTTTAAGATTTATTTATTTGAGAGAGAGAGAGAGAAAGCAGGGGGAGCGGCAGAGGGGAATCTTAAGCAGACTCTGGCTGAGCATGACACCTGATGTGGGGCTCAAGATTGAGACCCCGAGATCATGACCTGAGCTGAAACCGAGAGTCAGATGCTCAACTGACTGAGGCATCCAGGTACCCTTCCCCGTGCTCTTTCTGACTGAACCAGCCAGTCACCCTCTCCTGGCCAACTTTTTAGTATTCAGTAGAGATTCAGTTATATTTGTTAACATTGAATTTCAAAGCAGTATGAAAAAAATTTAGTCTCAAAAATATATTTTAAAAGAAAAATATAAAAATTTGAAGACAAAAAAAAATTGATAAGTTGTTAAATTAGATAAGTAGTCAAAATACGCCAAATAACACACCCTGAATTATCATACAGAATTATGCAGTCTTTGGGGGCGTCAGTAAAGCCTCCGACTCTTGGTTTTGGCTCTGAGCATGAGCCCATCAGTCATGGGATTGAGCCCTGCATAGCCTCCGTGCTCAGCTGGGAGTCTGTTTGAGGGTCTCTCCCTCTGCACCTCCCCCCATTCACGTGCACTCGCTCTCTCTAATATAAATAAATAAATCTTTTAAAAAGTAGGATAATGGAGTCTTTATCTTTAACCTACTAATTTCATTCTTTGTAAATATACCATAAGAAAATAACAGAGAAAAATAATTTATGCAAAAGTATTCATGTGGCTTTATTATAACGGTGAAAATTTAGAAATTAAATATAAAATACATAAGAATGTGAAATTAATTATTCTATATCAATATGCTGAAATCTATCAAAGGTGACAACGTGGAATTATGTAAATACATGAAACTAAGTATACACTGATATAAATTAGAAGAAATTTTAAGTTATCAATGAAGAACCACAGTTGCAAGTGACAGAAAACCTAACGCAAAGTGGCTTAAGGAAAAGAGGAAATCTTTTGGCTGATGGAAATGAAAAGTTTAAGAAATACAAAATCACTGCCAAACGGATCATTTACCTAACTGAAAACACATAATTGTAAAACTTTCAAGAAAAGACATAGGAGAAAAATCTAAGGGATCTTGGATTTGGTGATGAATTTTTAGATACAACATCAAAAGCTTAATCCATGAAAGAAAAAATTGATTAGTTTTGCTTTATTAAAACTAAAAATTTCCTCTGTATAAAAGGTGATGCTAAGGAAATGAAAAGACAAACCACAGGTTGGGCAAAAAAAATCTATGAACACTTATCTGATACAGGACTTGTATCTAAAATACAGACAGAACTTTAAAACTCAACAATAAGAAAACAAAAAAGAATAATTATGAAATAGGTAAACATTATGAACAGACATCTCAACAAGGAAGATACACAGATGGCAAATAAGTATATGACATTAGTCATTAAGGAGTTGTGAATTTAAACAGCAGTGAGACGTATGAGATGTAACTATATACCTATTAGAATGGCTAAAAGTGAAAACAAACAAAACAAAACAACAGCCCCAAAGCAGACAAAAACAAATGCTGACAAGGATGCCAAAGCAACAGCCATGCTCACCCTTTGCTACTGGGAACGCAAAATGGTACAGTTGCTTTGGAAGGCAGTTTGGCAGTTTCTTACAAAGCTGAACATAGTCTTGTCTTATGATCCGGCAATCCTAGTCCTAGGTATTTACCAAATTAATCTGAAAATATATCCACACAAGGGCCAGCATCCAAATGTTTGTAGAGGCTTTTTTGCAGAGTTGCAAAAGCCACAGGCAACCAAGATGTCCTTCAATAGGTGAAGAGAAAAATGGTGGGACATCCATACGATGGAATATTTATTTCTAAAAAGAAACGAGCTATCCAGTGATGAAAAGACCTCAAGAAAACTTAATACATATTGGCAGTGGAATAAGCCAACCTGAGAAGCCTAGATCCTGTATGATTCCGGCTCCATGACATTCAGGAAAAGGCAAAAGTATAGATAGTGAAAAGATCAGTGGTTGCTAGGATCTCAGGGAGAGAAAAGCAAGAAATGAATAAATGCAGTTCAAGAGATTTTTAGAGTGGTGAAACTAGTCTGATGGTGGAAACTAGTCTGATGGTGGATACATGGCTTTATGAATTTGTTGTTAGACTTCACAGCCTGGAGACACCTGCGTGGCTCTGTCGGTTAAGCATCTGCCTTTAGCTCAAGCCATGATCTCAGGATCCTGGGATTGAGCTCCATCTCTCTCTCTCTCTCTCTCTTTCAAATAAATAAAATTTTAAAAAATAGACTTTGCAGCACACAGAGCAAACCTTGATGTACACAAATTAAAAAAAAAAAATCATTTAGGAACTTGGGGGATTCCAGGAAGGAATTCATACTGTGACAAGAGTCTAACTGAAAGGGGCGGGAGGGAAAGATGCCGACCTTTGGAAATGAGTAGAGTCTGTTCGTCTAAAAGCAAAAGGAACTCTAAGAAGGCACCATCCTCTAGTTTATAAAGTTTGTTCCCATGGAGTACAGGTTAATAACTCTAGTACTTATATACATGTATACTGGAATCGAACAAGTTAGTGGATGGCAAATAGTTGGAGCCAGTTCCTCAAGATTGAAGTGGAAATTTATAGACAGGCAAGAAGGTAAGCTTATAAGATATGCTCATGATTTAAAGTTATAAAGGAAATAAGATGATATTTAGTTTATTTCTTATAGACTTATCACAATTAGTCATATTCTATTTAATTACATTATTATAATCGCCCCCCCCCACACACACCGCTCAAATCATTTAAAACAAGTTGAACAAAATGCAAGCCAATAATTGTGCTAGGTTTAATGTACATCTTGCTCAAATTTTTATTAACCAAATATTTCAAGTTTATAAAAATACAAGAAGACTAAATTGGTAATAATTAAAATTTGATCAAAAGTATACTTTTTTTTTTTAGATTTTTATTTATTTGAGAGAAACAGAGAGAGCAGAGTGAGAGGGAGAAACAGACTCCCTGCTCAGCAGGGAGTTCCATGTGGGACTCGATCGAGGACCTGGGATCATGACCTGAGCTGAAGGCAGACGCTTAACCCACTGAGCCATCCAGGTGCCCCCAAAAGTATACTTTTAGTTAACATCAAAGTAAGTTCCACTTACACAAAACAAACTTTATGATATAAAAATGTTCGTTTGCGAAAGTTAGCTTAGCTAGAGTGAAAACTGGGATGTTGCAGATCTGTTTACGGCAGCACAGTGTTGATGCCCAAACTGTGTGTGTAAGAGTAGCAGTATCATATAAAAGAAACATATGTGATGATTTTATTCTTCCACCCATTATGTGAGTATCACATGTGAGCATCATAGACGTGAGGGATAAAGAAAGTATAGATTTCCTTGTGAAAGCATATGTGAAAACTCTTTACCTGTCACGATCATCCGTTTTCCTACTGTGGCAGATACTGGCTCTCGAAATGATACAGATGCCATGGCGAAGGACTTCTCTCTGCACCTAGACTTTCTTCCTCAGCTTCCTCAGCCCAGTTTGCCCCAGAAAGAGTCAAAGTCTCTGCAGTCTCTGGTCTCTCTGTCTGTGTCCTAAAACTAGGTGGTTGCTAAGGACTCTTTATGACGGGGAGATTGGGTGTTCCTTCTAATGAAGTTCTGTATTCCAGTCTCTAAGAACGGATGGATATAGCTATAATGTTCCCAGGATCTAATAATATATATTTAAAAATCTGTCAGTAGCAAGTCAAAACAGACCTGTTCAAGTACTAGATCTAGAGCAGGCTTATGTCACAGACGACCTGGCAGGCTCAATCGAGGCTTCTTTCGACATTTCCCAAAGAATGTTCTGCAGAAGGGTGTTAATGTAAACAAACAAGCAAAAAACAACAAGCAGAACCACAAATCACGATTAAATGCATTCGAGAAACACTGGCTAGATAAAATACAATACAAAGTTACATTAATGAATGAAGGATTGTATCTCTATACATATCTGTCTATTCTCCCAGCCCCAATTCCAATACTTAAAATATGTGCCTTGGTCGTATTTAGGGTTTCCATTAACATGTGATGCTCTTTTATTCTTTTATTCTTCTCAGCCTTCTACACATGCAATTCACTCTTCCTATAATGTTCTTATGGAAATATTTCTTGTCATCTGAGGGCCAGAGTCCACATCTCCTCCTCCAGGAGGATGCCTGTGGACATAGCTGAGTATTTTGTTCTTCACCACCCTTAAACTTCTATGGCACATTGTTCATACCTATCTTTTAAACTCTTACCATTTGTTTTAATTGTCTATTTAATTGTCTGCCACCCTACTAGAATTTAACTCCCAAGAGTTCATGGGGAAAGCATCTTTATTCATCTTTTCAATTTCCAGAGACTTCCATGCAATAGATATTAAAAAATATTTCTGAGATAGATGGATGAATGAGCAGCTAATTTCAGCCTGCCCAGAAATATAATATTGACCACCTGACGATCCATGGAATAGAAATTGTAATGGTAATTTCAAATTCAACACTGAATGTATGAAAAGGTAATACCTTTTCTTTGCTGAAAGAAATTAAAATAAAACCAGTCTTAACTGACTAACTGTGGTGAGGTTGGGTAGCCTGGTAGGCAGAGAGATGCACCACCCACTTCCCCTTCAAGGAAGGGCTTGCCTCCTCACTGCAGGAAGTGCGGTCAGCTCACAGCCTTCTGCTGGCAGCTTCTTCAGGGTCTGCTTTAGCAGCAGAACGGCCTCTTCTGATGGAGGTCGAGCCCTTTTCCAGGGGAGCCTGTGTCAAGTGACTAAACCAGGTGGGAGTACAATGGCCAATCATTTCTGTCTGCCACAGGACAAGTTTTTTGCCAGACGGGCCAAGGTTTTGTTGAGCCCTTGTCACAGTTCAGCTTCTCCCTCTGCCCAGTCCCGCTTCTGCCTCTTCCTGCTCTTGCATGTAGATCCCAAATAACCATCTTGCCCCCCACATTCCAGAGAACCTGATGTGTGAGGACCAGACAGCATAGACACACATGCACAAACGTATTATACAGGAAGACCTCTCATTTTAACCACTCAATCCTTCCAATCAGAAACTGATTCTGTTTCCTCTGTGTGGGCAACTAGAGTCCGTCTTTGTTTTGCTACTGATCTTTGGTGTTATTTTCTTTGATCCTGACCTGCACTTCATTCTTCCTGTCCTCTATACGGTCCCTCTGCAGTTTCAGAAGATTTTCTGCTCTTTCTGAAGTTACTAGTTCTGGTTATTATGGCCAAGGTTTCCCTATCCTTAGCTGAAAGCTTCTCTCAGAAAATTCCCTATTTGGGGCACCTGGGTGGTTCAGTCAGTTAAGCATCTGCCTGTGCCTCAGGTCCTGATCCCAGGGTCCTGGGATTGAGTCCCATGTCCATCCAGCTCGCTGCTCAGCAGGGAGTCTGCTTGTCCCTCACCCCCTCTCCCTATGCATGCACACGCTCTCTCTCGCCCCCAAATTAATTAATTAATTAATTAATTAATTAAATCTTTTTAAAAATTCCCTATTAGTGTCCTTGGATGTATCATTTTGCAAGCTCAAGTGGTCCAAATTTGAAACCTACTAATAAAATGTAGGAACCTGCCCATTTAGCTATACTACTTATGATTTTCATGGTGCTGGGAAGAGAAAGGAAGGAGGAAGCTGAATGAGGAAAGGTAATTCTTAACTAAAATAAACAGAAAATAAAGGAGACTTTGACATTGGGCCAAGGACCTCCCATTAACCCATCATCGGAAAGGCAGGCTACCCCTCTGCCTTACAAACTGTTACAAAGTTTACATCTGCTGTGGGCTCAGGGTCAACAAATCTGAATGCAAAGGGCTGCAGGGAAGGGAAAATAGAGAGGGAAAAACCAGTTCTTCTCTGTGAGATTATTCCAACAATTCAATACATATTTAGGTTCATTTCTTTTTCATTTGGGGGGGATTATAAAATTATTTTACAATTAAGTAAATTATTTACATGGTTCCAAGGTAAGATCCTTAAAATAAGAAATATCTAGAAAAGTCTAGCTTTTATTCTTGTCATCTCCATCTTGTTATTTCATTTTCCTTACACTTTTAAAAACTATAAGTAAATATATCCTTATATCCTCCCTTTTCTCAGAAAAACAGTAACAAACTGAACATGTTTTCCACCTTACGCATCTGGCAATTACTTTATTTCTTAAAAATGTTTTTAAAAGATTTTATTTCTTTATTTGACAGAGAAATGGTGAGAGAGGGAACACAAGCAGGGGGAGTAGGAGAGGGAGAAGCAGGCTTCCCACTGAGCAGGGAGCACAATGCGGGATTTGATCCCAGGAGCCTGGGATCATGACCTGAGCCGAAGGCAGACGCTTAACAACCGAGCCACCCAGGCACCCCTGGCAATTACTTTATAGTATTAAAGATATTTCTCATTTTTGTATAGCTTCAAAATACTTTATTGTGTAGATCTGCCATAATTTATCCAACCAGTACTCTATTAAGGGTTAATATGGGTTCCAACATATTATTGTATAAAAAGAGCTACAGAGTATTGTTCTCCACATACATTTCCTCAAATATTTTGCAGTACACCTTTGGGATATATTCTTAGAAGTGTGAATGCTGGACCAAAGAGTAAAAGCATATATAAATTTATTTGCTGTTGCCAAATGTCTCCCCATAATGACTGTACCAATTCTATTCCAACCAGCAGTGTATGAGAATGCCTACCTCCACACAGCCTCACCCACAGAGTGTGTTGTCCAACTTTTGGATTTATGATCGATAAGTAATAGTAGCATAATAATTGACATTTCTTTCATTATTATCAAGATCGAGCATCTTTTTATATGTAGAACAACGCTTTGCCTTATTTTCTGTGACCCTTCTGGTCATTTCTCTTGTGCATTTTACTCTCTGGTCATGGAACTTTTTCTATCCTACTTTTTAAAAGCATGAGCTAACATCCTAAAGGAGGACAACAGACACATCAACAGAGAGTTACAATGAAATATGGCAAGGTCCGTGATAATTACAGTATTGGGTTTAATGAATACGGGTCTCCCTCACTACCCAAAGGCAGAGTGCACCTATGAAACCTTCTGTAACCTGAAATGGCATATAAGTGAAGTCTCCCCTGCTTTTTGAACGTTAACTCGTGCTTGCTTTCACAAAGACCTACATTAGTACCTGCTTTCACTAGCCGAAAGAAATCATCAGAGTATTCTCATGTTTATGAAAAGATGAGTGCACTAATACAAGAGAACAGAGCCCTAGGATGAGCTGGAGGACTCACAGTATGGGGAAACCGTGTTTCCTGAGGAAATGACATCTGAACTGTGTGTCCAAGAATGGCGAGGATCTAGGTAAGGGATGAGGGGTTGGAGGGTGGGGTGGGCAGCGAGGGCCTTTGGATAAAGGGAACAGCTTGAGCAAAGGCTGAAAGGGGAGAAAGAGCCAAGATTCAAGTTCGGTGCTAATGAGACAAGGAGACGGGTGACAGGACTGGAGGGGCTCTGTCTTCTCTGCTAGAAGCTGGGACTACTCTGTGGACAATGAGGACTCTGAAGGATTCTTAATGGGGGAGACCAGTCAGGCTTTAAATGGGGTTTAAATAGAAGATGCTTGATTGTGTGGACGATGAGCTTGAGCAGAAAAGCCTGTGGACAGGGGACCCTAGCTGGTAGCTGTTGAACTGATCCAGAAAAACGAAAAAGAGGGCCTGAACTAGGCAGAGGTGACGGGAATGGAGAAGAGACACGATCAGGAATGTGTTCAGTAGAAGTTGTAAAGAGTCAGGGTGACCCCAGTCTTCCAGCTTGACTGAGTGGCGGTAATACAACAAAATAAAACAGGGGAAACAAGGGAAAAAGAAAACCAAGGCCAATTAAATAAAGTATTAAGTAGGTGTGAATTTGTATCTGCTGTACACCAGGCTCGTGGGACAGTTAAAATGAAGCCCAAACTGTCATACAATGTTGTGACAGCTCTTGAACTCGTGCTATGGGATTAAAGAGGATCTCTTGAGGCCACCAGAAGCATTTCTGTTAGAGAAAATCCCTATTGTGCATGAACTGGGAGCAGCCCCCTCAGATGAAATAGGTTTGCTGCTTGGCACAAGTGAAATTTTGGCTATTGCCTGGCTTCACTAGTTTAACAGCAACATCTGAGTAACCACTTCAACGGTACAACTGCCAATGCCATCACAGCAGCCCCTGCAAAAATATCTCATTCTAACATTTGGGGAGGCATCAGGCTTCACATTTTAATGACGTAAAAGCGATACAGACCAGAAACTCTTAAAATACAGCAGTGGTATGAATTTTCAGGTGAATATAGGTCAGGATTTACTAAAATTACATAATAATATTCAAATATCCTATTTTTTAAAAGATTTTATTTATTTATTTGACAGAGAGAGAGAAAGAGAGAGGGAGGATAAGCAGAGAGAGCAGGAGGTAGAAGGAGAGAGACAAGCAGACAACC